CAATAGCCAAACGGTTACGGAATCCAATAGACAACAACCAATCATCTTTCCCGACTTCGAAGAGAAGCAGCCAATTGAATTATTGCCCACATTGAATCTGAGTTTCCACCTTCAAGACGTCAAATTAGATGAACTTCACAAATTAAGAAACAAAATTGAAAACAACCACCCAAACTTATTCTTCAATCAAATAACAAAAACCCCAAGCTTGTGGACAATTTGCATTTACGTCGTTCTGTTCCTGCTACTGCTATATCTGCTTTGTAGACATATTAAAGCAAGATGTACACTCAAGAAGACCGAATCAATCAGCCCACGCATCGAGCTACCGCTTCAGCAGGTGTAGTCTAATCTAACGAGGGAGGAGTTAACTAACGAGGGAGGAGTTAACTAACGAGGGAGGAGTTAACCATAAAGTGATGAGCCAGCAGATCATCATATGTCCGTTTGGAGACAATAACTACCAATGAGATGTGCGGAGGCCAGTCAGTCAGAAGTAAGCAGTCAACGAGTAACTTTTATGAACTTTTGTAATCTAACAAAATAAAATTGTTTTTAAAAAGGGCTCTCGCCGGTCTCATTAGTTAATTCATGTCTCGGAGGCAAAATGAGCAAGAACGCTCATTTGTACATAATTCTAGGCAGAAATAAATGGCCTTTTTAGAAAATGAACCATCAATAAGGAAATGTTGGCAGTTTTCTCAAAAAATGCTTGAATTCAAGAAGTTTTATATTTGCTTGGTTTTTTTGGGCTGCAAAATCCACTTGAACATGCTGCTTTTTTCGAGGTTTCTCAAGAACCATTCTAGTCACAGAATTCGTTTTGGCATCGTTAGATAGAGAATTAAAAAGTCGATTCAGTCGTAACAACGTGAGTAAGGAAATTCGAGTAGTTTTGACCCAGAAAGCGAAATATGAATATCAAATACTGAGGTTCAAGATTATGCCAACATTTCATGTTTTCCGTCCCCTTTTTGCTCATATCTCGGAGGCAAAATGAGCAAGAACGCTCATTTGTACATCATTCTAAGCAGAAATAAATGGCCTTTTTAGAAAGTGAACCATGGATGCGGAAATGTTGGCAGTTTTTCCAAAAAATGTATAAATTCAAAAAGTTTGAAATTTGCGTGGTTTTTTTTTAGTTGCAAAATCCACTTGAACATGACGCTGCTTTTTTCGAGGTTTCTCAAGAACCATTCGAGTCACAGAATTCGTTTTGGCATCGTTAGATAGAGAATTTAAATGTCGATTCAGTCGTAGCAACGTGAGTGAGGAAATTCGAGTAGTTTTGACACAGAATGCAACATTTGAATATCAGACACTTAGGTGCAAGATTATGCCAAAATTCCATGTTTTCCGTCCCGTTTTTGCTCATGTCTCGGAGGCAAAATAAGCAAGAACGCTCATTTGTACATCATTCTAGGCAGAAATAAATGGTCTTTTTAGAAAGTAAACCATCAATAAGGAATGAGCCACAGAATTCGTTTTGACATCGTTGGATAGAGAATGGAAAAGTCGATTCAGCCGTAAGTGAGGAAATTCGAGTGATTTTGACATAGAAATCGAAATTTGAATATCAAACACTTGGGTTCAAGATTATGCCAAAATTTCATGTTTTCCGTCCCCTTTTGGCTGATATCTCGGAGGCAAAATGAGCAAGAAAGCTCATTTGTACATCATTCTAGACAGAAATAATGTTGGCAGTTTCTCAAGAACCATTCGAGCCAGAGAATTTGTTTTGGCATTGTTGGATAGAAAATTTAAAGGGGGGGGGGTCATGACCCCCTAGACCCCCTCCTGGACGGATATAAATCTTTTTTTTTTATTATAATTAGTATGAGATAAATTCCGTTGTGACCAGAGAGATATACATACTGTTAAAAATGAGTTGAAAATTGAAAAGTTTTGTAACTGAAAATTCAGTTTTTGGTTGTTGAAAATAAATTCATGCACATTGTGATTGAATTTTCAGTATTCTTATTGAAAATCCAAAATTCAATAACATAGAACTGAAAAGTTTTCAGATCTTAACCTATTTGCAGGGACTGATTGAATATCTGTCAGTTCGTACTACAACGGACGAATTAACAGATTTCCAACCAATAGAACACTTTTGTATCATCGTACCATCGTATAAACGGATGCATGGTTTGATCTATTCGTTCGACAGTGACGCGACAACTGCCAGAAAGGTTTATCAGAGTTTCACCAAAAAATATCGTAGGCTACATTGGCGTGGTGAAAAGCGCATCTCCATGCCAATCTGGTACCCCAGGAGCCCAATTCTCGAAACTGGGAACGGCGATCATATGAGAAAGAAGGGCGTGGTTCTGTCGTGAAGCGAATATTGGTATTCATGAACGCGATTGAGTGATTCCATCACGCAACGGCAGTAGAACAAGCTTCTCTTGCCAAATCTCGCGGGAACGCATCGTTCACCGGTTTAATAACCACACATTACACAGGTTTTGGCGTAGGTACCCGGTTTGAAAAGTGGTGTGATTTCGGTTCGAACTCGAAATAGTGAATTTCATAAATAAAACTTAAACTAATAAAATAATCAGCAATTTAAGAGATTTTCCTATTATCAAAATACTGCGACTACAAACGAATTTGAAAAAACTCGAATAATTACATTAATGGGGGAAGGAGCGTCAACCAAAACAGTAGCCTGGAGATTTGGAAAACCGAAGATAAAGAGATATATAAAGAATGCAATTAAATTGTTAAATTAAAACAAGTTTGTGACATACATGGTACATATATTTGACGTATTTCAGAAAGCCTCATTTACCAAAATCCGGAAAAATCGTCTTTAAGAGTCGTCTACTTTTATAACTCCATATAATGGAAATATATTTTTTTAGGTCCTTGTTACACTGAGGTTTTATGCTACAGGCAGTTACCAGGAAATAACTGGAAGTAATATATTTACTGCCATTAGCCAGCCTTGTGTGTCTCGGTGCATTACAGAAGTGACTGATTCTCTAAATCAACCCAATATTTTCAATGATTGGGTGAAGTTTCCAGAAACTATACAAGAGATGGAATCTTTACGTCGAAGGTCAGCAAACAGTAGTATACCTAACAAAGTAGCATAAGTGGTCTAAATTGTGTAAATTGGTAACATTAGTGGTAAAAGGTATTTAGTAACTGCTTAACAGTAATTGCTAACAGCTGGCTCTAATATTGTAGTGCTGAAGTAGTTTTTCGTTTCAAATTTTATGAGAAATACCAGTTTCCAGGTGTCATTGGTTTAGCAGATTGCACGCACGTTGCTATAGCGGCTCCAACGGGGAACGAATATCCGGAACATATTTATGTGAATAGGAAGCATTATCATTCAATCAATGTTCAGTTGGTAAGAGGTTTATTTTGGTCAACAAATACTATGTTCTTGACTTGTTATCAGTTACGCTTAGTAAATATTACAAAATTTTAGATCTGCAATGAAAAACTGGAAATAATGAATGTTGATGGACGTTTCCAAGGAAGCTGCCATTATATGCATATCTGGAAGCAGAATAGAGTAGCCGGAATTGTAGAAAGTGTCTACAGGCAAAACACAAGCAACGTGTTTTATCTTCTAGGCTATTCAGGTAATAACATTTCCTAACCGTAACAGAGAACGGCGCTTTAACTTTTTGTGCCTCAAATTTTACAAATGAATCCATCCAAATGCGTTTTTACTTTCCGCCTACACTTTTCGTCCATGGCTACTCACGCCATTAGATTCTCTTCCAGTCAATGTAGCAGAAGAACGCTTTGACAGCAGGATTAAGGCTGTTCGAAGCGGCATTGAAAAATGTAATGGGGTATTGAAAAATCGGTTTAGGTGTTTGCTTAAACATCGAGTGCTCCATTACAGACCAGACAGAGCAGGGAAGATAATTAATGCGTGTGTAGTTCTACACAACATGTGCGTAAAAACCAACATGTCAGAAACAGAAGAAAACCCAATTGAGGGAGCAGACTTACTAAAATTAAGTAATATGGAGCGAAGCAATGATCCAAGACTGGTTAATCCAGATCCATTAATATCGATGATAATTAATGTCGTTTTTTAATCTTGCCTATAGACTATTCCAAAACATAACTAGCCAATTACATGTAAAAAAAATACCAAACAAAATGATAACTTATTTATTTTAAATTATATGCTTCAGTTCTTTTAACTCAGTTAAAACTTTCACATATATCTCGTTGCTCCGGTCCAGTTTTTCTAGTTTGACTTGTTCATATTTTTTGCCGCCACTCCATATATTTACATTTGGCTTCAAACTATGTGTCGGTAGTTTTTTTATTTTCTTTGTCTATTTCAATAAGGTTGTTTGCCGTGTTTATTGAGCTGTCGAGCCGTTTTGATTTAAATAGTCGTTTGCGGCTATTCTTTTCGGTTTGCTCTTCTCGCATCTCATTTTGAATTTGTGACTGAAACTGTAGATTATGTTCTTCACTAAGTTACAATACATGCTTTATTAATTATCAGTAGCTGGTCCCTATAATAATAAATATACGACTAAATCAAAAGGGGGTGTCTTTACTTACCAAACTTGCATCAGGTGGGGTTTCTATCGGTCCTTCCTCTTTATACAGATTATAGCCCGCATTCGGTGAAGTTGGATCGGCTCTCTAAAAATATAGCAGACAATTTACCATTGAAAAGTTTTTGATGACTGTCAACTGACCTGTTGATTCAAATCCTCAAACGAAAAACTAACATTTGGCACTGGAATTGCCGAATCTCCAAATGTTGTCTTTGGGGACAACAAATTTAAAATTTTTGCCTCGGTATCATTACTAATTTGTTTTGAAGGTCCCCTCCTGTGCCGGTGGCATATTTGCGGTCTGCTACAGCTTTGGATTTAGTTCTTTTTTCATGTCCTGCCATGTCTGAGAAAGTATTAAACACTGTTTATAAATCAAAATCGTATATGGTATTAAATTGTTATACATTAAGTAGCAGGTATAAACTATTACAGTATAAGAAATCACTTTGAGTAAAAACAAGAAATTCGAGTATATCTTTCTCCACTGGGACCAGTTTTTCTTTGAACCACCGGGAACCGAATTTAGAAGGACAGTTACTTCCTCCCACAACTTTACAGCTGATTGCTTGGAAAAACTGGCTGTAAATTTGCCGGAGAGTAGCTCCTCATGCCGTTCCATGAAATCGACAAGGACCTTTGACCTTGTACTATCGGCGCCT